ATAAAACATCCACGCAAATTACTCCGAAGATAAGGGTGATAGCAAAAAATGACCTTAACAAACGTTGTAGGATTAAAAGGGGACCAACTGAGGGTGACCTTGACTTTGACCTTACAGTTGATTTTCAAGGTTATTTGAAGGTCAGAGTAATTTTTTTAAATGGAAACCTCTATTTTTGATTCCAAAATCTAATAGCTGGTGTCAAGAGCTTTTCAAAACACTTTAATGAAGTTATTTTTCATTAAGTACTTTTCAAGTTATGAGGCTTGTAAATTACAGTATTTTGACATAAAATACAAAATATCTTGTAAAACATTTAATTTTTGGGAATCTTACCTTAATACTTTTATGCATAAAATAATGAGACGAATCAATTGGTATAAAAAAAACACATTGGTTTAAAAAAAAAGTATGCAGTTGCATATTGCAAACTACATATTTTTTCTTGAAAGCAACTATGTATTTTCTTTATACCAATTGATTCGTCTTATTATTTTATGCATAAAAGTATTAAGGTAAGATTCCCAAAAATTGAATGTTTTACAAGATATTTTGTATTTTATGTCAAAATACTGTAATTTACGAGCCTCATAACTCGAAAAGTACTTAATGAAAAATAACTTCATTATAGTGTTTTGAAAAGCTCTTGACACCAGCTATTAGATTTTGGAATCAAAAATAGGGGTTTCCATTTTAAAAAATTACTCTGACCTTCAAATGACCTTGAAAATCAACTGCAAGGTCAAAGTCAAGGTCACCTCAGATAGATCCCTCGAAATCATGCAAATTTTGTCTGAGCCATTTTTTTGTACAAGCACATCCCTACGTTTTAAAAGGGTGGGACGGGTGGTCTAAAACACCCGGTATATTATTTAAAAATTTAATCATATCGAATATAATCTTAACTAATGCATGAAAAATAATTTCTTATACAGTAAAATGAATGATATAATTATAGGTTACAGCCTTTGAACGTCAATAGGCATTTAATATTCATGATAGCTGTATAGTTTACTTCGTGCCATACGCTGGCGAATTTTACGTATTATAATGTACTACTTTACGATGTGCGAATATTATTATTATCTTAGATGCTGGTCACTTTTGA